AAACCATTTTAATTCTGAAGCGATTGCTGGGGATGAGGGTTACCAAACGCAGGTCCTGGACTGCCAGTTCCACACCCGGATGGTCTGGTCATCGGACGCACTGAGGATCCAGGGATATTCCTAGGAAGAAGAGAGACGAGAGTTTTCTCTCTCGGAGGGCAGGCAGGCAGGCAGGGCCCTGTGCAGAAGGGAGCCTGGCAACCTCTTACGGTTCCTGAAACCCCAAAGAAACGTTCCGGGGTGCTGCCGAACGCTCAGAGACAAAAAGACATAAGCAGGACTCACGTGGTGGAAGAAAGTGGTGCGGATGTAATCCAGGTGGCCCAGCAGTGTGAAGAGACAACGGCGCAGTTTGTAATTCCAGACCTTGAGGAGGAAAGCACAGGTGTCAATAATGCGAATCCTAGATGGCTGGGTTTTTTCCCCTCCTTTAATTAATTACAGATCACACACGATTCAGAATCAGAATGGAGGTCTTCTACTCCAGCCCCCTGCTCAAGCAGGAGGCCCTACGCCATTTCAGACAGGTGGCACCTACAACTTCCGAAGGCAGGCTGTTCACTGCTTAATGGTTCTCCCTGTTAGCAGAGGGCCTCCCACGGGGCCTCCCAAGAGGTTCTCTACCTACATTTCCACCTTACAAGCCTGTTTCAATCTCGGTTCATACAGATAGTCCTCAATTGAGTCCAACATTTCTGTTGCTAAGCAAGACAGTTGTTAAGTGAGTTTTGCCTCGTTTTACGACCTTTCTTGCTGCAGTTGTTAAGTGGATCACTGCAGCTGTGAAATTAGTAACACGGCTGTGAAAGTGAATCTGGCTTTCCCACTGACTTTGCTGGTCAGGAGGTCGTAAAACGGGATCGCGTGACCCTGGGACACTGTGACCGTCATAAACATGAACCAGTTGACAAGCATCTGAATTTTGATCACTTGACCATGGGGATGCTGCAATGATTGTGTAAAAGACAAATACAAGTGCCGCTGTAACTTTGAATGGTCACTAAACGAACCGTTGTAAGTGAAGGACCTGTACTCAAGGGAAAACAGCAGCTGAACGGGTCAGTCAGACCACCATCCTGCTTCCCTCCAGAGGCTTTTAAGGAACTCTCCACCCCCCTCGTAAACCGTCCCCACCCAATAACTTCCACCACCTAACATTACCTTGATTTTATAGTCATCCCCTCCGGAGACAAAGAGCGGCTGCTGCTTGTGGAAATCGATCCCTCTGACAGGTCCTGGAAATCAAATATAAAATACTGAGAGTCACAGAGAAATCAAGAGAAGAGGTGAGGCTTTTCACTGTTTTTTCAACCGCTTAGCTCAATCCGGCAATAGCAGTATTTTCCCTCTGCTACTTGTGATTTTTCTTTCTTTTTCCCCCTTCTGGCATACTCTTGCTCACTCCTTCCCTCGGTTGAATGAAACTCATCTGCTACAGGATCTACTTTGCCTATATAGTATTTTATTTCTCCAGTTCTGCAGAATCAACCTTGGGCAGACTTGGTTCCGTCCAATTAGATCCAGCTAAGGCAGGCTGATGTCAACGAGGCGGCCTCTCACGTTTTATAGGCAAGCGGCCCGGCTTACATGCACACAGTGTAACCGTCACTTACCATCGTGTTCATCAAATTTGTCAATGAGGGTGCACATCCGATAGTCCCAGAGCTGGATCACCCCATTGTGCAAACTCGTAAGGATCCAAGGTCGTTTAGGGTGAAAGCTCAGCCCTGGAAACAGAGGTAAAAACTAGATGTGTTTCTTGGAAGTCAGCTGCAGTTTTTATTTTCCACAGAGCATGCAGAAAACCTTGACTGACAATCGTAATGGAGCCTTCCCACTACCGTTGGGCACCCCATGACTGGAATCATTTTATGACCTTGTTTGCAGTGGTTGTGTCTAGCTAAGCAGCCACCATGGTTGTAAAGAGAACCCATTGTTCATAATGCGCCATTTTTGCTGAAAACCGGAAAAAAATGTCGGGTTTGAGCAAAAACATCCTAAAGCACAATTACATGACCCATGGGACGCAGCAAACAGCCATAAATGCAGGCTGGCTACCAAGCGTCCATGTGACTGGGGGGGGGACACCCCTGGACATCAGAATTGGGTTGGAAATATCTTGGGGTGGGGTCTGTTGCTGTCAAGCAAATGGTCATAAACCAAGGGAAATTTACAACTTTTCAGCGGAGAAATCTGGTGGGAGCAGGAGAGGGCTGTCTCTTTGGATAACGTTTATAATAATAATAATAATAATAATAATAATAATAATAATAATAATAATAATAATAATAATAATAAAGTTGGAAGGGACCTTGGAGGTCATCGAGTCCAACCCCCTGCCCAGGCAGGAACCCTACACCATTTGATACAAACGGCTGTCCAGTCTCTTCTTAAAAACTTCCAGTGTTGGAGCATTCACCGCTTCTGGAGGCAGGTTGTTCCACTGGTTAATTGTTCTAACTGTCAGGAAGTTTCTCCTTAGTTCTAAGTTGCTTCTCTCCTTGATCAGTTTCCACCCATTGCTTCTCGTCCTGCCTTCAGGTGCCTTGGAGAATAGCTTGACTCCCTCTTCTTTGTGGCAGCCCCTGAGATACTGGAAGGCTGCTATCATGTCCCCCCTCGTCCTTCTCTTTGTTAAACTAGACATACCCAATTCCAGCAGCCGTTCCTTATATGTTTTAGCCTCCAGTCCCCTAATCATCTTTGTTGCTCTTCTCTGTACTCTTTCTAGAGTCTCAACATCTTTTTTACATCGTGGTGACCAAAACTGGATGCAGTATTCCAAGTGTGGCCTTACTAAGGCCTTGTAAAGTGGTATTTAATGTTTCTAGTTCTTTGAAATGACAAACAAAAATGTGAAATTCTGATAAGGACTGGTTCAGACAGGCCAGAGGCAAGGTCTATGCACAACTTTGAACTTTATGTTTTGACCTATATATCAAGTGATTTTTTTACCTTTTTAAGGGCCTCTCACCATGTATCCATGGAAGACCTCTCCTCTTACTTACGCATAAATAGATATTGATCTACCTTTCCAGCTTGGATGCAAAGGAACACCAGGCTAAGAACCTTATCATTGTTTACAATTAACAAACCAATTACTTAGCTTAATTTTTCCCTAACTTAATACAGTACTGGCATTTTCTATAAACTGTGCCAAGACTCAGATGAGGTTGGATTCCCACAACACAGGTCAGGTGGGTAATAACAGATAATAGTATGGTTTATGACACCAGTCAATGAGAACTCTTAACTTTCTATTAGATCTTTGCAAAATCACAACAGCAGTGTCTTTACTCTGCAGATGTGCCCAGTGCCCAAAACACATAACTTTCCACCTGTTTTGATATCTGTAGAAGCAAGTTCTAGAACATAGAATTATAGAACACAGAATCATAGGGATGGAAGGGGCCTCTAATCCAGTCCCCTCCACAAGCAGACCCTATATCATTTCAGACAAATGGCTGTCCAGTCTCTTCTTAAAAACCTCCAGCAATGGGGCACTCACAATATCTGGAGGGAAGCCGTTCCACTGATTGTTCCCACTGTCAGGAAATTTCTCTTTAATTCTAGGTTGCTTCTCTCTTTGTTAAGAAGCAACGTCTCTTTGCTTCTTGTCCTGCCTTCAGGTGCTTTGGAGAACAGGTTGGCCCTCTCTTGTCTCTGACAACCCATCAAATATTGGAAGACTGCTATTATGTCACCCCTAGTCCTTTCTCTTCATACCCAGTTTCTGCAAATTGTCCATCATATGTTTTAGTTTCCAGTTCATTAACCATCAGTGTTGCTCTTCTATGCACTTTTCCCAGAGTCTCAACGTCTTTTTTGTATCATTTTATTGTTTTAATGTTTGTAATGGTTTAACGGTTTTACAGTTTTACAATTATGAGCCGATGCAGAAGTGGCTATAGAAATTGGGGGGGGGAATCATTTTACTATGCTAGAAATTTATTCAGTTGATATGCACGGAGGCAACATTTTGTCATTGGGAAACTCAGCCAAGAATACTGCCTTCCAACTACCTGGTGAATAAAATCTTTGTATGCGTGAAACTGAGGGGTTTCGAATCCTCTGTAAAATCTGCTTTAGACGGATGTTGATGCTTTATTGCAGGGGTTCTCAACCTTGGCAACTTTAAGACTTGTGGACTTCAACTCCCAGCTGGCTGAGGAATTCTGGGAGTTGAAGTCCACAAGTCTTAAAGTTGCCAAGGTTGAGAACCCCTGCTTTATTGCTTTGTTGCAGCTAGCCTTCGGGAGCGCTGTGGGGGGGGGGGGAAAGGGGAGGATTTAAACGGAATAACCCAGTGTTTGTTTCTCAAGCTGGGCCACTTGAAGATGGGCGGACTTCAACTCCCAGAATTCCCCAGCCAGCACATCATAGGTGCCTGGGGGATTCTGGGAGCTGAAGTCCACGTATCTTAGAGCAGGCTGGCTGGGGGATTCTGGGAATTGTAGTCCTCCCACCTTCAAGTGGCCCAGCTTGAGAAACACCGGAATAACCGAAGATAAAACGAGACCCGCGTCTTCTGCTGCAGATGCACCGGGGCAGGGTTCAACCCCCCCCCCGGCCCGCAGGGCCCTGACTGGGACCCCCACAGCGCTTTTTCCAAGCCAGCCGGGAGACCCCCGCCCTCAGCATCGCTGCTCTCCTGGGGCGCCCGGCCTACCTTTCACGCGGGCCGATTTGGTCTCGAACTTGGTGAGCATCTCCGCTGCGCCCCGTCGCCTCCTCAGCAGCTGCTGCTGCTGCTGCTGCTGCTGCCGCCTCCACGTCACCGCTGCCGGGACGGCGCCCACTCCCCCACTTCCGCTTCCGGCTAGGTACCAGCGATAGGGAAAGAGCGGCGCGGGTCTAGCGCCCCCTATCGGAGGAGGAGGAAGACGCCAAGCCGACGCTCTTCTCACGGAAACCGGAAAGAACCGCCCCCCGGAACCATAGAGAAGGGTCCGCCGCGCTAGAGAGCCCAGCTTGGGCAGGAAGCGGAAGTTGCCGGCAAGATGGCGGCTATTGAGGAGGAGGTGGGAGCGGCCCCTTGCAGCGGCCGGAGGATGAAGGCGAGGGCGGCGGCCTGGGTCCTTCGCGGGATCGTCTTGTGCGCCTTGGCGCCCGGTGAGGCCCTCTCGCGCGGGGAGAGCGCGCTTGGGGCCATCCGGGCCTGGTGGGGCGGAATGCGGGGCCCGGAGGGCGGGGACCGTGGGACTCGTCGCCCCCAAACAGTTGCCCGCCGGAGGGGCTGGACTCTAGCTCCCATGGTGCTCCCCCGGCACGGCCTGGGTGTTGAACAAACCACGAGGGTCTCTACAGGGCCTTATTCTAGGAGGCAAGCTGTGACTTTGGGCCAGCCCTTTTCTCTCTCTCTCTCTCTCTCTCTGGCCAGCCTACCTCGCAGGGCTGTGGTGGTGGGAAATAAAGGAGGGAGGAGTATTCGGTATATTTACAACTTGAGTTCCTTATAAAGTAATAAGATGGGACAAGATTCTGATAGCTCTTTGGCTGGCTGTGATAGAAAATGGATGGATGGATGGATGGATAGGTGATAGATGAAAGAAAATGGGTGGATAGACAGACAGACATAGATGATATAGATAGAAGATAGATGGATAATAGACATGGATGATAGATATCTGAGAGATAAAAAGATGATAGTGATAGCTAGTTACTATAGATAACTAGATTGCTACGTTTGGTAAAGAGATAATAACTGGTATATATAGATGATAGATGATAACTGACATGAGATAGATAGATAGAGTTAGTTGGCCCTTTATCCTAAGCCAAAAATTAGACCCTCCAAAGGGCTTTGTACAAAAATAAGGCACTTCCATCCAGGCTGATGGGATCTGGAGTCTTTACTGATGTCGCGCTTTCAAGAATCCCAATCGAGGAGAGGTTGGGTTTATGCTGTTTGGGATTAACCAAGCTGGAGTCCAATTGTTGAGGAGGGCGCCAGTTGAAGTTAGCTGTATGGAAACTTCAGAGATTTGGGTATCTGAGGGACAGCAAGGTCTATGGGGGACTTGATGGAGTACAGGATTATGCCAACATGGGATGCTTGGCTTTGGGTGGCATCTCCGTTCACGGTCCGCTTTATGACCAAGGCTGTCGCATTCTCAAGTGCCAATTGAAGCTGCATGGAATGGTTCTGATGCTGCTGGTTGGTCATGTGCCTGCCTAGAAACTAGGAGATGGTGAGTTCTAGTCCTGCCTACTCCTTGGTAAGCTAGAAAAAGGTGGAATAGACAATATCACCACCAGATAGATCTGTAGCTGGCTGACAAACCGTACTCAACGGGCAGTCCTCAATGGCACTACATCTACATGGAGAGAAGTAAGCAGTGGGGTACCACAAGATTCTGTCTTAGGCCCAGTACTCTTCAGCATCTTCATGAATGACTTAGAAGGAGAACTCATCAAATGTGCAGATGACACCAAACTGAGAGGAATAGCCAACACCCAAAAAGACAAACTCAGGATCCAAAAAGATCTTGACAAACTTGAACAATGGACCCTATCCAACGAAATGAGCTTCAGTGTGGAAAAAAAGCAAAGTTTTACATTTAGGCAGGAAAAATCAAAGTACGAGTACAGACTGGGCGAAACCTGACTTAAAAACAGTAACTGAGAGGGACCTTGGAGTCATAGTGGACGATAACTTCACCATGAGCCAGCAGTGTGCAGCAGCACCCAAAAAGCTAATACAATCCTGGGTTGTATAAACAGAGGCATAGAATCAAGATCACGTGAAATATTAGTACTGCTTTATAAAACCCTAGTAAGATCACACCTGGAATACTGCAGCCAATTTTGGTGACCATATCACAAAAAAGATGTTGAGAGTCTGGAAAAAATTCAGAGAAGAGCAACTAAGATGATCAAAGGCCTAGAGACTAAAACATAAGAAGAACGGCTGCAGGACTTGGGTCTAGCCAGTCTAAAGAAAAGAAGAAATAGGAGTGACATGATAGCAGTATTCCAATACTTGAGGGGCTGCCAAAAAGAGGACAGGATCACGTTATTCACCAAAGCACCAGAGGGAAGGACAAGAAACAATGGTTGGAAACTGAACAAAGAGAGAAGCAACCTGGAATTAAGGAGAAACCTCCTGACAGTGAGGACAATTAACCAGTGGAACAGCTTGCCTCCAGAAATCATGGGCGCTCCATCACTGGAGATTTTTAAGAAGAGGCTAAACAGTCACTTGTCTTGATATGGCATAGGTTCTCCTGCTTGAGCGGGGGGGGGGGGGGGGGGGGGGGCTGGGCTAGAAGACCTCCAAGGTCTCTTCCAGCTCTATTCTATTCTACAGACTGAAATTTAGTTTTCTTTTTTTAGTAAAGAAATAGCTTTAATACTGTAAGTAGACTGTAAATAATGATCCTTAATACTGTACTTAATACTCTAAGTAGAATGTAAATAATGAGAAAAAGGCAGCTGATTACAACTTGCACAAGTTGAGGTATTTGTACTGTAACCAGTTGTTTTGATATATGCATTTGGTCATGGAGGAAATTCCAGGGAAGAATTTATCCCCTTTGGTTCAGTTCTAGTTTTATGCCTCCAATCTGGGCAAAATTTCAGAAATTTATTGCTCAATTTGGAGAGTTATGAAACAAGATTTCCGGTTCTGCTTAATGGTTGACTTAAAACGGAAGTCTCCCTTATCCAAATGAGTGCAACTAATTATTTATGCTGTTAATATTTTTATTTACATGGCTGTCCTGTGATAATGTTAGCCCACATTCCCCCCCTGCCAGGAGCTTTCTTTCCACCCTTCTCATTGTTTCAAACGCTATAAGGAATGGAGGTTGGGCCTAAGGCAGGGGTGTCAAACTGCCAGCCCCTGGGCCGGACACGTCAGGCGGAAGCCGCGCCCACCCCATTGCCGGCAATGGCAAAACAGTCCCGATACAACTTTAAAATTTGGTTTAATTCGGTTTTATAGGGGGGGATTGTATATATGCTTTTGTTTTAAATATGTTGTGCGCCGCCCTGAGTCCCGCAGGGAGAAGGGCGGCATATAAATTAAATTAAATAAATTAAATAAATAAATACGTCGCGGGTTTGACATGTCTGGCCTAAGGCAAGGCGTTGGACTTTGTATTCAGCTGCTGTAAATTCTGGCGGTTGAAATCCACCAAGCCTGTATGAACCCTTGGTCAATCTGGTCTGCCTTGCCAGCACCAGAGCAGGATATTCCTGTTTTCTAGTCACTTTTTTTTTTTCTAAGAAAAAAAAAATCCTATTAAATCCATCGCTTTTTGTGCAGATTCAGGCTGGTGCAACTCTGTGGAGAAGAAAATCTACATCCCACTCAATAGAACAGCCACCTGCGTCCGTCTCCTGAATGCCACTCATCAGATAGGCTGCCAGTGTGAGTGTCGTGTTGAAGGAATATTTCCTTGGGGGGACACTGCCAGTCGCTCGTGTCTGATAGTAAATAGGCCAGGCAGGTGTGGACCACAGGTAGGCTACCTGCAGCTCCCAGCCCATTTTGCTGGTCCCCAGAGCCCTCTACACCGTGCCAACAGAGTTCCAAAGCACAGAGGCAATGCATGACAGCAATGCTTCTATTCTGTTTTTTATTTTTATGAATCTGAGACCCTGTTCGCTGCTTGTGGTGCCTTCTAATTTCACTACAGGTAGTCCTCGACTAAGACCACAAACTGAGCCCAAAAATTCTGTTGCTAAATGAGACATTTGTTAGGTGAATTTTATCCCATTTTACGACCTTTCTCGCCACGGTTGTTAAGCGAATCACTGCAGTTAAGTGAATCTGGCTTCCCCGTTGATATTGCTTGTCAGAAGGTTGCAAAAGGGGATCATGTGATTCTGGGACACGGCGACCGTCGTAAAGATGAACACCAGTTGCCAAGCCTCCCAATTTTGATCACGTGACCCTGGGGATGCTGCAATGGCCGTAAGTGTGAAAAACGGTCATATGTCCCTTTTTTTTCAGCGCTGTTGTAACTTTGAATGGTTGTAAGTTGAGAACTACCTGTAAAATGTTTTGTGGTGAAAATTGCCAAGCGGTAAGGAGGGTGTTTTGTGACCAGAGAGGTGCAGGAATGGAGATAGAGAGGTCGTCCCCGGAAAGCCTTCAAGATATTGTATTGTTTGGGGCTGGGCAAAGCCAGTCTTTACTTAATAATTCAGGGGCTCAGAAGGGTAATTACCGTAGGTTGTAGCTGGGGCAGTGCCACATCAGTAAAAAGGGTGGTACTAACAACTGTGGTTCATTTTCTGTATTTTAAAGTGTTATTCATAAAATGAGGGTCTTGACATCTGCAGAGGCAGCTATTTTGTCCTTTGCCCCTAAATGGGGACAATTGGCCAATTTTGGGGAGAATGCCGCAGGGCAGGGGTAGGCAACCTTATAGCTGGCTCAGGAATTCTGGGAGTTGAAGTCCACGAGTCATAAAAGAGCCTAGGTTGCCTCCCCCTGCTCTAGGGTGATACACGAATACCTGAACCTCGCAGGAGCCTGAACAGAGCCCTCCCCATCACGAAAGGGCTCTGGAGAGAGGGCAGTGCGGCTGCTTGGTCAGAGGCTGCTGGTTGTGGGTGTGCAATTTGTCCCTCTGGTGTCCTTGACCTCTCTTCCCTCACAGCCTCCATGAATGGAGACACCGGAGTCATTCACGTGGCAGAGAAGGAATCTGACCTGAAGTGGGTGCTGTCGGATGGCCGCCACCCCCCTTACATGGTCCTGCTGGATGGGAAGCTTTTTACAGGGTAAGTGGGGATTTGCCTCCTCCTCCTCCTCCCCACCCCCCACAGAGGAACAAGAAGAATTTTTCTTCTGTTTCCTGAGCCTGCAGCTGCTGGAGAAAACACCCAGGATGGAAGCTGCTCTTCTGATTCCCAGTGACCAAACGCAGCCTTTTACTCGAGCATCACAGCCCCAGGAGATGCTTGCTAGCTGTCAGGAAAAACAAGCCGTCATCTCTTGGCACCTGCTGTTTTGGCTTAAGAACTTCTGCTTGTGTTTTTCTACTTCTCCAAGCAGAAGCCAGCCAGAATCGCAGGCGCTGATACGTGGACAGAGCTCTCGTGATTTCTTAGCTGGGCTCTGCCACACTTTGGCGTGAATACAAGCCACGAATCTGTGCTTGGTTGAATTCAGCTGCTGCCCCTTTGTGATGCAGCATACAGATACAGGTAGTCCTTGCTTTACGTCCACATTTGGGACCAGGCTTTCCACTGCTAAGCAAGGCAGTTAAGTGAGTCCTGTCTAATTTTACCACCTTTTTTGCCACTGTTGTTCAGCAAATTGCCGCAGTTGTTAAGGAAGTCACAAGGTCATTAAGCAGATCCATTTTCCCCCATTGACTTTGCTTTATTATTGGAAGCCGGCTGGGAAGGTCGCAAGTGGCCATCGCGTGACCCTCCCCCCTCCCCCCCCCGGATGCTGCAACTGTCTTGAATGCGTGCCGGTTGCCAAGCGGCCAAATTTTGATCATGTGACCGTGGGGATGCTATGAGGGTCGTAAGTGTGAGAACTGGTTATGCAGGTGGTCCTTGACTTACAACCACAATTGAGTCCAAAGTTTCTGTTGTCCTATTTTACGACTTTTCTTGCTACAGTTGTTAAGTGAGTAACATGGCTGTTAAGTGAATCTGACTTCCCTGTTGACCTTGCTTGTCAGAAGGTCGCAAAAGGGGATCGCGTGACCCCTGGACACTGCAAACCATCATAAATTCGAGTCAGTTGCTCTGCATTCTCATTTTTGACCATGCGACCGCGGAGATGCTGCAAACGTTCGTAAGTCTGACAAATGGTCATAAGTCACTTTTCAGTGCCGTTGTAACTTAGAACGGTCACTGAGCAAACTGTTGTAAGTCGAGGACTACCTGTAGGCACCATTTCTCTCTTTCCAGTCACTTGAAAACGCTTCTGGGCAAGCGGTAAGAATGGAACAACACTCTGGAAACCTTTGATTTATTCCATGTCTGTGGAAAACGACACTGTATTGCTATATTTCATCCCCTTGGCGATCTCACAGCCGATAAATAACACCCTACGCTTACATTTTTCACCATGTGGTTCTTTTCACAGACAGGTGATGGAGAAGCTGAAGGGCAGCTCTCGGATTGCGGGCGTGGCCGTGGCCATCTCCAAGGGCAGCCCGGCAGAAGGTTTTTCTCCCGGTCTTCAGTGTCCCAATGATGGTTACGGTGAGGAGGAAGCAAACGTGGTCTCTTTAGGGCTTCCCAGCTCCTCTCTTCAGTCCTTCCCTGGGTGGCCTCCGGGCTGGCTGGTTTCTGATCCAACTCAGCAAGAGCGGAGCATTTCGGGTCCCTTAAGAGAGAATCATTTTCTTGAAGTGGACTTCAACTGCCAGAATTCCACAGGGGAATTCTGGGAAATGAAGTCCGCGGATCTTAAAATTGCCCCGGTTGGATACCCCTGAAGTAGAGAAAAGCACATGTCCAGTTTTATTTCTATCTGGACACTGCTTCTGGACTTTTGCTCCAGATAGAAAAAAATGTAATTTTGTTTTTAGGTTTTGCTGTCAGTTTGTTGCTATAGAAAGGGCTGGTTGTTGTTAAGCTGATACAGTAAAAAGTGGAGGCTGTAATTCTACTTTGTACTTTATTGTGCTGAAAAAAGATTGGAAGTCGACGCTTTATTGCCCATCATTTTTCCTTCCTCCCTCCTTTTTTTCCACCACTTTCCTATTATTTTCATTTGTATTATATATTCCGGAGTTGAAAAAGAGACAAAGGTCACTCTCTTCATCATCATCTGGCAGAGATTTGGGCTGAAAAAGTCTGTCACTGCTAAGAGGAATCTTAAAAAGCTCTAACTTTTTATTAATCAAAGATAGCAGTAACAAGAGTGTCGGGCATTTCCTTTACATCTGAGCTCTTGGCCCACGTCGAAGTCTGCAGTTAAAGAAAACTTAAAAAAAGCAGAACCTTTGCAGAATACAAACAGTTGCAAGGAAAAATGGGGGGAACCCCCCCAGAGCCCCCACACACAGAGAGAAAAATGGGCTTCGGTTACTTGCTGCCTCCTCCTGGTGAGGTTTCCCAGATCCGTAACTGTCTTTTTTTTTAAAAAAGGGCGACGGTTCCTCTCCTCATGTAACTCGAAAGGCTGTCGGTGCCCGTGGCTGAGTCTGCCGTGGGGATTTAAGATCCTGGGAGATGCTTCTGGATGTGTCAGGCAGCTGGAAGTGTGATCCTGGGAAGGAGAGAGAGAACAACAAGCAGACTGTTGTTTTTCCTCTGCTGTGAAAGGGCCCCAGGATATGGTCACAATCAGTGCCATTGTTTAAGGCGCGTGATGTTGGTATCGCAAGTAGGAATACACTAATTTGGAGGAATGTAAGGGCACCACAGGAAAGTATTCCAGCTCTGGAACTCATAGTCTGGTTTACAGTATTTCCTCCCCTCCTCCCCTTCCTTCTCTCTTTTCTTTCCTCCTTCCCTCCCTCTTTCTCCTTCCCTCCCTCCCTTTCCTTCCTCCCTCCTTGTCTCTTTCCCCTTCCTTCCTTCCTTCCTTCCTTCCTTCCTTCCTTCCTTCCTCTATTTATATGGCCGTCCATCTCACAATCAAGGGACTGGGCAGTGTACCACAGTCAGAAACAATATATACAAGTTAATGTTATTAATATTTAAAAGTGTAACATTGTACAAGACACAAAACTAAAACTGAAGAAAACGGGTGGAGAGCAGGCCTTTATTTATCCTTCCGGTGCAGCAGACTCAAGGTCTATAACCGTAACCTCGCTTTGTTCAGGGTTCTGCTGCCTTCCACACAATCCCTGTAGTTGTGTGTATGTGTGTGTCACTAGCATATTTCTTTCGACGCTCTCCTCTGCTTTGATTCCTGCACAAACATTGTTCTGCCCCTTTTCCAGTTTCCCTACTCCAGGGGTAGGCAACCTCGGCTCTTTTATGACTCATGGACTTCAACTCCCAGAATTCCTGAGCCAGCAATGCTGACTCAGGAATTCTGGGAGTTGAAGTCCATGAGTCATAAAAGAGCCGAGGTTGCCTACCCCTGCCCTACTCCCTTTTCACTCCTATTTCTGCTCATTCCTATTTGTCTTCACAGCCCCTGACTTTAATCCATTTTTCTGGCCCTCCCCGTGACTTGATTTAATTTCTGAGTCAAATGTGGAGAAGCTTTTTCGGCAGCCTTCATAGCTCAGGGCCAGGCCACGGTTCCCACGTCTGGGAGCATGCGTGACTCCTTATCCTGAAAGCTTTTCAGGCAACTGTGACTCACGGATTGCTCAATCTGCCTTTCCTCTCCTTCCTTCAGGCGTCTACAACAGCAGCTACGGCCCAGAATACGCCCACTGCAGCGTGACCAAGTGGAATTATCTGGGGAACAGCCTCTCCTACCTGGACTTCGGCTTCCCCATCTTCCTTCTTCAAAACGAAACCGAAACCAAGGTTATCAAGCAGGTGTGTATTGCGTGGGAACTCCGCCGTACTTCCCTGTGGCAGGATGAGCGAGAGAATATTTTAAAGCACGCAATTAAATATCAAAGTTAGCACAGCAGTTCGTTTAGTGACCGATGTTACAGTGGCCCCGAGAAAAGTGACTTAGGACCGTTTTTCACACTACCGTTGCAGCGTCCCCTTGGTCACAGGATCAAAATTCAGAAGCCTGGCAACTGACTCATATTTACGACGGTCGCAGTGTCCCAGGGTCACGTGATCCCCTTTTGCAACCTTCTGGCAAGCGAAGTCAATGGGGGAGCCCGATTTGCTTATCCACTGCAATGATTCACTTAACATTGGCAAGAAAGGTCGTAAAATGGGCCAAAACTCACTTAACTGTCTCGCTTAGCAACAGAAATTTCAGGCTCAGCTGTGGTCGTAAGTCAAGGACTTCCTGCACTAACTTTGATATTGGATGGCCTCAAGGTAGCTAGACCTGCCTCTTTCTAAAAACCCCGACTCTCCCTGCTTGGTCCTCAGTGCTACCAGACGTACAACACGCCTCAGAACGGCTCCGGGCCAGAATACCCGCTCTGCGCCATGCAGCTGTCCTCCCACATGCACGCCGTCACCAGCACCGTCACCTGCATGCGCCGCAGCATCATTCAGAGCACCTTCAGTCTCAACCCAGGTGAGCCCGGAAGGGTGGAGGTGGGCCGGGCCTCAAGCTCTGGGCAAGGATGCCCAGCCTGCCTCCCGCCAAGGGCTGCCCAGGCATGCCGAGGATGGGCTCCATAAAGCGGGGAGGCTCAGGCAAAAACAGGCTTTAGTGTTGTTTGACAATCAGTCCGGGATTATATGATTGTGACCCGTAGTTTTAGTAAGGTCTCTCTTCTGTTACAGTAAATTGTAATTCCAGGCAAGATTTGGAGTGACTCTGGAAGTGGAAGCAAAGACCCGGGACTTTCCTGAGTCAAGCCATTCTTTCTTCAAGGACCCCCGTGCTCGGGCGGGGGGGGGACACACTGCCTTCTCTGTTGCACAGGGGCCCTCCACTTGCAATTGATCACTTAGCAGCCATTCAAGGTTACTGAAGTTCAAAGTTGTTGGGTTGTTCAGAGGTTTTGTGTGCTCCATGACTGGAGGCTTTTAAGAAGAGACTGGGCAGCCATTTGTCTGGAATGGCGTAGAGTTTCCTGCTTGAGCAGGGGGTTGGACTAGAAGACCTCCAAGGTCCCTTCCAACATGGTTATTCTTTCTGTTCTGTTGGGGCTTCCAACAAGCAAACTCAATGGGGGAGGCCGAGTTTACGCAATCACCGCATGATTCACTTAAAACCAGGCACGACTCACCTAAGGACTGCATCTTTTAGTGACAGAAGTTCCAGTCTCAATTGTGGCTGCATGGCAAGGACTCCACGTACCACGTTTGCCATGATTTTCGGTTCTTTGGGAACAAGCTGGATCTGGCTGTTTTCAGCCTTTCCGGATCGCCTTTCTGCTTGGCAAAAACCTGGCTGGAGGGCTAAAGCGGAGCCCCGCGAGTCCTTGGTGGCTGCTGCTGTGTGGGGCAGGGGGGGGGTGGGGGGGTGGCGCTTCCCGGGGTCGTGAAATGGGCCGTGGGGTCACGGTCACTGCTTCTCTCCTTTCAGAGGTGGTCTGCGATCCTCTCGCCGATTATAACGTCTGGAGCACGGTGCGGCCGCTCAACGATTCGGAGAAGCTGGATCCTAAAAGTGTCGTCATTGCTTCCTCTCGAGTAGGTGGGGCTGGGCTGGGCTGGGCTGGGCTGGGCTGGGCTGGGCTGGGCTGGGCTGGGCTGGGCTGGGCTGGGCTGGGCTAGGCTGGGCTGGGGGAATTCAGTTTAAATGTTGTTCTTTTAATATCCCACCTTTATTTTTCATATGTTTTACGTAAAAGTAAAAAGGAGGAGCTCAAAAAGGCACAGCTGGGGGGGGGCATTTCCCCCCAGGCCTTCCTTGATGAGGGGAGCAGGAGGGAGGGGCAGCTGGAGCTGCCAAGGGGAGATGCTCCCTCTGGTCGTGGCCTTCTGGGGACTCTCAATTGAAGCCTCAGGGCAGGGGTCATTCTCTCTACAGGCACCAGCTGCCGTTCCTAAAAATCTGCACGAGCTTGTTTCGACATGCTGGATAAATTTTTAATTTTTATTATATTCAGAAAATTAAAATACAAAACCCAGAGCGGGGAAAAAATTGCAAAGATAAAACAAAACTAGAGAAACGTATTATAAAAATGTGAGTTTAAAGGACGAAAAACAAAGACACGGATTAACCCCCACTAACGGAAGCTTTCCCCTCTTGCGAAATGAGTCCAAAGTTTATAACATGCTGGGTGGATTTTGACCATATACTTTTAGCAAATGAATGGAAATTAGACGTGGGACTGAACGGCTGCCATCTGGGCATTGAACCAGGCACGGAAGCTGACAGGCTGACTTTGGGGAGAGAAAGTCTGGCAGAGTCTCCGAACTGGCCGGACCGTATTCTTTGCTCTTCTTTCTGGCAGATTGACAGCCACTCTTTTTTCTGGAATGTGGCCCCCGGGGCGGAGAGCGCCGTGGCTTCCTTTGTCACCCTCCTCGCTGCAGCTGAAGCCGTCCATAAAATCCCCGATGTTCAGTCGCTGCCCAAAAACATCATGTTTGCCTTCTTCCAGGGGGTAAGTTCTCGCTGTTTTCTTTTTTCCTGGTCTCTGCAGCTTGAAACAGATCTCTGATTTATTTGTTTATTTGTTTGCTTGTGAAATTTATTTGCTGCCTATCTCGTATTCAACAACTCTGGGCAGCTTACAAAATAAAACAGAATAACAGTAGTAGAGATGGAAGGGACTTTGGAAATCTTCTAGTCCAGCCCCCTGCTCAAGCAGGAGATCCTATACCGTTTCAGACAAATCACTGTCCAGCCTCTTCTTAAAAACCTTCAGTGATGGAGCACCCACAACCTCTGGAGGCAAGCAGTTCCTCTGTTTAATTGTCCTCGCTCTTAGGAAATTTCTCCTTAATTCCAAGTTGCTTCTCCTCTCCTTGATCAGTTTGCAACCATTGTTTCTTGTCCTGCCCTCTGGTGCTCTGGTGAATAATGTGTCCCCCTCCACTTTGTGGCAGCCCCTCAAATATTGGAAGACAGCTATCGTGTCACCCCTAGTCCTTCTTTTCATTAGATTACTCAATTCTTGCAACCATTTTCATACATTTTAGCTTCTAGCCCCCTAATCATCTTTGTTGCACTTCTCATTAAAACATTAAAGAAACATTAAAATCATCCATTGTAAAAGACACAGCATAGAAAAACAATTCGGTCCCTGGAACCTGTGGCTGGACTTGGAAGGTCCCACTTTTCTGAAATCTTGCGGAGCGACCATCCGCCGTTGCACATCGTGTTGGAAACCAATTTCCGTGGTGCTTGCAGCAGAGAAAGCTGACTTGGGAATACAATTTGCATGGAGGGCTTTGTTGTTCTCAGCTAGGAAATATCGCTCCCAACAAGGATGCAGTTTCCCCTGGGAAATGAATAAAACAGCTCAGAGAGAGAGAGAGAGAGAGAGAGACAGATGCTGCTAATCCCAGCTCCACTGGGGAATTAGCCAGGGATGGGTGAGAAGGTTCGGCAGCATTTAGGTAGGAAAAGCTTGCAGGATTTTTGGGGAGATGATTTAAATCAGTGTTTCTCAACCTGGGCAACTTGAAGACGGGTGGACCTCAACCCCCAGAGGTCCCCAGGCAGCATGGGAGTTGAAGTCCACCCGTCTTCAGGTTGTCTAGGAGGTTGAGAAACTGCTCTACTGCCAGGGTCAGGAACAAATCTGAATGTTTGGAGCAGCGTTTCTCAACTTGAGCAATTTAAAGGTGGATAGACTTCAACTCCCAGAATTCCCCAGGCAGCACAGGGATTTGTTTATTTGTGTGAGAAGCATCACAATTAAAATAAGGCATACTATATGGCATAAAATTTAAAATATAAAACGCAAGATTAAAATATATACAAATTAAACAGATCTTGCCAAGAAACTAGCAATATTAGCATGGAGTTGAAATCCACCCATCTTTAAATTGCCACGGTTGAGAAACGATTCACACTGCCGGGTTCGAAAACAAATCCGTGTATTTAGAGCTGTGTTTCTCAACCTGAGCAACTTTAAGGTGGGCGGACTTCAGAGCACGGCTGGCTGGGGAATTCTGGGAGTTGAAGTCCACCCATCTTAAAGTTGCCCAAGTTGAGAAACATTCCCTTAAAGCGATTTCAACCTACATTCACACATTTGCTTGTGTAACATCTTGTAAACAAGTGTCAGGAAATGTATCTATTTCATAAAGGTGCATCATGGATTTCCTGAAACAAATCTCCTTCTGAAATACCCAACTTCACTTCCCAGAATTCTCAGCAGCTGCAGGCCAGGCCCAAGGTATTCTGGGAAATTGAGGTTCAGCGCACTGAGAGCATTTCAGGCTGAAGGATGCTCTAACAAACCAGGGCAGACTCCGAGAGAAATACCTCTGTGGAAAGGAGGGTTTGAGGGTTTATTCTGCCTGCTAACCCTGGGGGGGAAATGGGCACAGGTAGTCCTCGGGTTACAGCCACAGCTGAGCTCGAAATTTCCGTTGCTAAGCAAGACGGTTAAGTGAATTTTGCCCCAGTTTATGATCTTTCTTGTTACAGTTGTTGTGTGAATCCCTTCAGTTGTTAACAACACACTTGTTAAGTGAACCTGGCTTCCCCCATTGGATTTGCTTGTCAGAAGGTCGCAAAAGGGGATCACTTGAACCCGGGACTCTGCAGCCGTCATTATTACGAGTCAGTTGCCAAGTGTCTGAATTTTGATCACGTGACCCGGGGATGCCGCAACCAGTGTGAAACACGGTTCATGAGTCACTTTTTTCAGTGCTGTTGTAACTTTGAATGGTCACTAAATGAATGGTTGTAAGTCGGGGACTTCCCGTGTTTTCTTCATTTTACTGCACGGTATAATCTGCAAGCAGGACTGAACTGCGAGGAAAAGCCACACATTCTGGGGGGGGGAAGGAGCACTCCGGAGAGCAGCAGGCGGGCGATCCGAAAGCCTCTTCTCCAACCTGGGGCCCTCCAGTCCCCACTGCGGCCCGTGGGCAGCAGCTGTGGGCAGCACGACGTCCCCACGGGGCAGGAAAAGGCCCTTCGCCGCTGCCGCCCGTCCCTCGCAACCGGCCCACTCGCAACCGGCACCCCGTCTCCAAACACAAAGTCACATGGAGCGGATTAAAAATATATGTGCACACTGAAGCAAAAAAGCAGTTAATTTGGAGCAACGGCAGCTGCGGAAAGCCAAGAGGATATTTGAAAGAGGGAGGGAGGGAGGGAGGGGTGATGGTTAGCAGCTGATCTTCCCCTCCAGGCATGAGGTGGATGGGTGGGTGGGTGGGTGGGAGAGCCGAGTTCGAGCAGCGCTGTCAACTTTACCGGAGCTTTTGCGCTGCTGTGAAATGACTTCTCTTCCCGTTGTTTCCTCCACCACCCTGTTGGGGGGTTGGCAGTGGTGCCTTGCCTGAGAGGGCCGCAAAACTTGGCATTGTACAGTTGTGACTGTGAAAGCAGAAGCCATAAACCAGATTGGCGTGACTCACTTAACGGCCCCCTTGCTTAGCAGTAGACATCCTGGCCAGCTGCCTGACTTCAGGCCCGTCTCTGTTTCCCAGCCCAACCCACCTCGCAGGGCGGTTGTTGCGGGGAAAATAGGAGGAAGGTGTGTGTTGGATATGTTCACCATCTTAACCTGCAAAAATAATAAAGCCGGGATGGAAATAAATAGAGGTTGCAGATGTAGCTGGGTTACTCTGTCCCTTTTTTGAGGAGAACCCTCCTTCTGGATTTCCCTTCCCTCCTCAGGAGAACTTTGACTACATCGGCAGCTCCCGCATGGTGTACGACATGCAGAACGACCGGTTTCCCATCAAGCTGGAGAACATCGATTCCTTCCTGGAGCTGAGCCAGGTGAGAAGAGACAAGCTGAGGCCGCTCTGCAGTTTTAGCTGACTGCTTTTGGGATATTGGCTTCTGGTGTAGTTTCCAAATTTTGGAAACTCGTGTTAGAAGGGAGTTAACAAAGCGAGTTGGGTCTGTGAAACGTGAGAATGCCCAGATGAGTTGCGAAAAGAGGTTCCCGCAACCGAGATGGCTGTTTCAGACTTAAACGGGCTGAGCTGCAGTTCCACGGAGGGAGGACAGGCCTGTGGGTTTTCATTTGCTGCTTCTCGGTTACTTAAAGGCTGGTGGGAAGTACAGGACCCGATCCAAAGGCTTTTGGGCAGAAGCATCGGAGAATGTAGCGCAGAATATCTTTCTTGCAAAGGGCAGCGTCTTAAACTTGAGCATCCGTGGCTCTCGCGTTTGCAAATTTAAGGGCTCCTGCGAGGTTTTGCTCTTTCATGGTGAAGGTGCTGGCCTCGAAAGCAGGAAATTGTGAGTTCTAGTTCTGCCTTAGGCATGAAAGCCGGCTGGGTGATTTTGGGCCCAATCACCAGGAGACTTGGGAGTTCTAGTCCAGCCTTAGGCATTAAAGACAAAAACATATGAAGAACGGCTGCAGGATTTGGGTCTGGCCAGTCTAGAGAAAAGAAGTACCAGGGGGGACATGATAGCAGTCTTCCAGTATCTCAGGGGCTGCCCCAAAGAAGAGGGAGTCAAGCTATTCTCCAAAGCACCAGAGGGCAGGACAAGAAGCAACGGGTGGAAATTGACTAAAGAGAGAAGCAACCTGGAATTAAGGAGAAACTTCCTGACAGTGAGGACAATTAACCAGTGGAACAGAAGTTGCCTTCAGACGTTGTGGGGGCTCCATCACTGGAGGTTTTTAAGAAGAGACTGGACAGTCACTTGTCTGAGATGATATAGGGTCTCCTGCCTGAGCAAGGGTTGTATTGGAGACACCCCCCCAAGTCCCTTCCAGCTCTATTCTGATTGATTGATTGATTGATTGAAAGCTCCCTGCATGACTTTGGGGCAGTTGCTGTCTCTCAACCCAATCCACCTCACAGGGATGTTGTTTGGAAAAAATAGGAGACAGGAAATTAATTAGATGGCATTTAGCCAGCACCTCTATTTGGCTCTGTCACAGGAGATTATCTGGGGTTTCTGATTCCAGCATTACCCACCACAAAAGGACACTCCTGATGAAACAAAAGAACTTTCAACCAAATGTGTTTTCCTTGCACCAACGGAGTGAACTTTCACTTAATTCT